GTCTGAGTGATTGGCTGAAGTAGGACCGAGTGGACTTGTAGGCTCTAAAGTTTTACATTGTTTTATTTTTGAATCCAGTTATTTTTTGTACATAATTCTACATTTGTAAGTTCAACTTTCATGAAAAAGAGATTGCACTACAGTACTTATATCAGGTGAATTGAAATATACTATTTTCTTTTGTTTTTTACAGTGCAAATACTTGTAATCAAAAATAAATATAAAGTGAGCACTGTACACTTTGTATTCTGTGTTATAACTGAAATCAATACATTTGAAAATGTAGAAGACATCCAAATATATTTAATTAAATGGTATTCTATTGTTTAACAGTGCGATTAATTGCGTGATTTATCACAATTAATTTTTTTAATGCTTGACAGCCCTAAAAATACACAAAAAACTAACAACTATACTTCCACTAATTATTGAGAGGATGCAGCAAAGTGCAGACTAAAGACCAGTTGGTTCTGCTGCTCACCAGCTGCTAACTGCAGTGTTTGAACAGGGATTGATAGAGGGTTGGGGCCATTGCTCAATATAAAATCTCAGGTCTAAATATTCAAACCCATGAGAGAGGATGCACATAGCTCACATAATGTCTATTTGTTTTCTAGAGTTTTTGGCTCGACAACAAAGTTGCATGCACATCCCACAGGAGAAGATTCGGGCAGGCAATTCTTGAAGATGAATTATTCATTATGAATTATTTTAGCTCTAGTTTCAAGGCTAAGAGGCAAATGCTGATCTAGAAAAGTCACTTATTAGATCATACCATCCACATTCCATGGCTAGTGCAGGATTCTTTTATAGTTTATGTTTACACATTTTTTTATCCAGTTCAGTTGTAAATGTTCCAACTTCTGGTACTTTCACAACTGCCTTTCCTTATGGATTTAGCTATTAATGCCTTCATGTAAATTAATTTCTCCAGCTCTGCAACTATTTTTATTGTACTTAAGAATTTCTGACAGTTTGTCAATATCTTTCTGGGAATGAGGTCCCCAGAGTAAAACATTATAATGCAGAAAAGGGCTCCTTATGCTCTGATATGGTGTCTTTGTATATACAGTTCAAAAGTACATGGTCCTTTTTTTTCCCTCATACAACACTGCAACCTGATGCCTAATTTATCATCCCTAAGATATTACAATATCAATGCAGAAATTCTTTCTGAATCTACCAGATTTTTCACAGTGATTAGCAAGGGTACTGTACTGGGGAAATGGAGTATGGGAAAACACCTTCAAACTAGGAGGTCAAAATCACCTAAAAATCTGGTTTGATTTTCAGAGCTGCTAAGTATGAGCAGTATCTATTGACTTCAGTGAGAGTTGTGGATGCTCAGTACACATAGGAAAAATCAGACAACTTATTAGGTGCCTAACTTTAGGAACCCAAATGTGAAAGTTTTATTCAATATCTTCATCAATGAATTTAGATAATGGCATAGAGAGTACACTTATAAAATTTGCTGACGATACCAAGCTGGGAGAGGCTGCAAGTCCTTTGGAGGACAGGATTAAAATTCAAAATGATCTGGACAAACAGGAGTATTGGTCTGAAGTAAGCAAGATGAATAAGGACAAATGCAAAGTACTACACTTAAGAAGGAACAATCGGTTCCACACATACAAAATAGGAAGGAGTACTGCAGAACGGGATCTGGGGGTCACAGTGGATCACAAGCTAAATATGAGTCAACAGTGTAACACTGTTACAAAAAAAAAGCAAACATCATTCAGTGATGTCTTAGCAGAAGTGTTGTAAGCAAGACACGAGAAGTAATTCTTCTGCTCTACTCCGGGCTGATTAGGTCTCAACTGGAGTATTGTGTCCAGTTCTGGGCGCCACATTTCAGGAAAGATGTGGACAAAGTCCAGAGAAGAGCAACAACAATGATTAAAGGTCTAGAAAACATGACCTATGAGGGAAGATCGAAAAAATTGGGTTTGTTTAGTCTGGAGAAGAATGAGGGGGGCAATGGTAACAGTTTTCAAATACATAAAAGGTTGTTACAAGGAGGAGGGAGAAAATTCTCCTTAACCTCTGAGTATAGGACAAGAAGGAATGCTTTAAACTGCAGCAAGGGTGATTTAGGTGGGACATTAGGAAAAACTTCCTGTCAGGGTAGCTAAACACTGGAATAAATTGCCTAGGGATGTTGTAGAATCTCCATTTTTGGAGATTTTTAAGAGCAGATTAGACAAACACCTGTTAGGGATGGTCTAGATAATCCTTAGTCATGCAAGGGATTGGATCAGAAGACTTCTTGAGGTCCCTTCCAGTTCTATGATTCTATGTTTATATTTCAGCTGAACATAGCTTCTTCTGGGGCTACCTTAGTAAAAATTAACTCATTTGTCAAGATAATCCAAATATTTCAACACAAAGCCAGATTACATATCTAAGCCTACAATCTATTTGGAATCCTAGCACTATATTAATAAGATGAAGCCCAAGTGAACACTAAATACCATTGTATCTACAAAGAATCTTATATATTTTAAAAGGACACTGCCAAGTTAGGAAGATAAACTTTAGTTTCTTAAAAGCATTTTCCCTCACTGTTTAGAAAAAGCTCTTAGATGCTCAAAACTGAAAACTGGTTACATATCTCCCTACCCCCACTTGCATGCATGTACCAATATGTTATTATAGGGCTGTTCCTGGGCACTTAGTTACACACTAGTTATTTATTGTCCATGAGGGCTGGGCTGCACACACAAGCTTCTTATTGCATGGTTAATCAAATGAAGGCAAGCAGGTTTTGAAGAATTTGTTTTCCAAACCACTACTCTCAAATCACAAACCCTCATCATACAGAATGACATAGTTTCTGGAAACATATGAGCAATAAAAAGGCAAGTTCGCATTTTGGGCCAACCAATCTCAACAGTGGTCCTTTAATCAAACATGTTGCCTAGTTTTGGTAAAACAAGGCTCCATTTCTATGACTTTATGCGTCATAATATCCTCAGTGTCTATTCAGTCAAGTCAAGGGAAGCAGTGTGTTGTACCCAGGCTCTCACTGAATCCCACAGATCCACATGGAATCTAGTAGCTGTGAAGGTTGTTACTTTACCTTCAAACTGGTAACAGGGCACTTAGAAATAAAATAATGAAACATCCAAGTTGTCCCAAGTCACTTATATCAAATCCTTTCATAAGACAAAAAGAGACAACAGCCTGTATTGTGTGGTTACCATCTTCAGTCTGCTTCCGAACAAGTCTTAGTAGATAATGGGGAAGCATGTCTGTATATTGGGGAAACAGACTCCAGCCAAAATCTCTTATGAATTCTATTGTATAGATAGATAATAGATAGTGTTGGGTAGTTATCACAACACTCCTTTACCCTTTTCCGAGGTGATATAGCTCCCTTCCTTAGTTCAAAGTGCTACTTTACACAGAACTATGTGTAGAGAACTTAATTTATTATTTACTGCACTGAATCAAGCACACTGAAAGAGATACAGTCCTGATTTCTATTCACTAGATAAGTATAAATGAAAAAGCACATTTGTAACAAACACTGAATCCATCCAATTTCTGTTTCATGTACAAATACTCTCTCTATTCCTTATGTAGCATTTGTGTTCAGTGATAAATTATGCTTATTTATAAAAAGAAAAGGAGTACTTGTGGCACCTTAGAGACTAACCAATTTATTTGAGCATGAGCTTTCGTGAGCCACAGCTCACTTCATCTGATGAAGTGAGCTGTGGCTCACGAAAGCTCATGCTCAAATAAATTGGTTAGTCTCTAAGGTGCCACAAGTACTCCTTTTCTTTTTGCGAATACAGACTAACACGGCTGTTCCTCTGAAGCTTATTTATAAGTTAGCAATCTTTATCAATGCTCAGCTGTCAGAGATACTCTACCTCTTAGAAAAAAGGAAAGGAGTACTTTTTTGCAGATACAGACTAACACAGCTGTTACTCTGAAATCTACCTCTTAGGGGACTGCTCCATGGAAACAAGTCTGACAAAGAAGCACAGAGTAATACCACTGGGCACGTTGGTCCCTGGCAGGAATGATGTGGTGACAAGGCCGGTGTGGAGACAAACTTGGTTAGCAGTACTGCACCCTTGCCAACCTGTGTTGGCCAGCCCCAGGGATTATCTCTAGGGAAACAGAGCTGGAATACCTCTGTGCTTTTACTCAAAAGTACAGAGGAAAATACCTACTTGGCTTGTATACTGGCTATTAAAAATGTGGAGCTTGCCAACCACTAACCTCAGAAATGCTCATTTTCCAGTTTCATGTGAAATTAGAGATCGCTAAACCCATTAGCCAAACAGTGCTGAATGCATGCTCCATCTACAATCTCTTCAAGTGAAGAATAACTTCTAAAGGTTTTGATTTTACTTATTTTTTAAAAGATTATAGGATTTGCCATTCTACTGCAGATGAAAAGGAAAAACTTCCTTCTTGACCACTGGAGCATGATATCTGATGAGCATCGTAGCTCACCACCTGCAATTGTTATTAGCAGTTATACAATCATCTGGCTATTTCTAAGATGCTGCCACACTATCTGATTCTGACCACCCATGGCAGTGAATTCCAGACTAACTACATGATGTGTGATTTGTTCTAAATTGATTGGCTATTTATTTTACCAAGTGACCACTTGTTTTTGTTATTACAAATATACTGAAGTCAGGTGCTCACTACTGAAAAATTCATCACTGACAGTTCTACAACTATTACATTTTTAGGATCATCTACATCACTCAATGCTCTGAAGTTCAGAATGAGGTATTGATTTTCTGACAATTCTTTCAGCATACCTATTTAATTACAATAAAATGCAATTTTCCCATTTGAAATGCAATGAATCCCTAGGCAGAATGCTGATGTGAATTGGATTCCCTATATGGACATAACAAGCTTAGAAACTCCAGATGCATAAACTAGAGAGAATGATTTAAGTAAATACAGATGTAATATTGATATGTTGTTGAGATTCAAATATTCACAACAACTTTTTATACCTGCAAGATCTTCCTTGGAGGAGACCAGTCGAGGAGAGCTGCTTCCTGGCTCAATTCTTAAGGATAATCTGGAAAACAGGATTTTAGACACATCAGTAGTGAAAGCGTTCACTGAAGTTAGAAAGGTAAACAGAAGAAACTAATTATTTTATTTTAAGTAGGAAGTCTGGTTTGATCTGAAAGAATATTTATTTATTTAGCTTCAATACAAAACAGGTCCAGGATTCCTAAAGTTAACCTCTGCCCTTTAAATCCACCTAAGAGACTAAGAGATATTGTGGTGGGTTTTGTACCTCGTCAACCCCTTTGATTCTGGGGGTGGGGGGGAGGTTAACCCCACCTCCCGGCTTCTACGCCGGTTTCACAACCTCCCCGGTAGTCAGGGCTGTATGGCCCAATGGCCAGAGTCCCTCTAAATCTTCTTCCCCTGGTGGGATAGCACAGCCTAGCGGCCAGAGTCCCTACAGTACGCTCCTAAAGCAGTGTGGCCCAATGGCCAGAGTCTCCCAAAACTCTCTTCCTCTGGTGGGATACCGTGGCCTAGTGGCCAGAGTCTCTATAGTGCGCTCCTAAAGCAGTGTGACCTGAGGGCCAGAGTCCCTCTAAGTCCTCTTCCCCTCTTAGGATAGTGCGACCCAGCAGCCAGAGTTCATCTATCTCCTTTGGGATAAGAGAGGGGTCGGTGAATTATATTGTCACAGAAAAAAGGGGGGAGGTTAGAGACCCCAGGTAGGGGAGCCCGAGCGCACCCATCTTCACCGGGCTCCAACCCAGGGCCGTGTCATTGATGGCATGATCGGCCCCGGGTCAACGGGGAATCCTGCCGCAACACGCTGCCCTCAGTGTGGTGGGAGATACTACTCCTTTCCCTTTCCTGGGTCACTTCCTACCAGTTCTCCAAATGTAGCAATCCCTGTGGCATCAGGGTCTTCAGGTTCCTCAGCCTCTGGGGCTCCCTGGGGTTCCCACAGCTGCCAGTCTCTGGTCCCACTTCCTGGCCCCTCAGCTCCCTCCTATACAAGTCGCCACTGCTCCTGGGCTGGAGCCTCCGCTGGGTGTCCTCCTTCCTCAGCAGCCAGCCCTGACTGAGCAGCTCTGCAGGCTTTTATACTTGACTCTCTATTGGAACATGCCCAGCAGAGCCTCAGGGGTGTGGCTTCCTCTGCCAGCAGGGAAGGGTTGACCCTCTCATTCCCAGTGCGGGGCCAGTCTGCCCTGTCACAGATATGTTTAAAATGTCAGTGTGAATTATCTTTTATACTTTTTGTCAAAGCAGAAATATGAATCTGAAAATGCAGACACGAAAACCATAGTGGCAAAGAACTCTTCCCTTTCTACATGTTTGTGGGAGGGGTCCCTACATGATCCCAGAGAACTGTGCGGTAGGAAATATTTATTTTATAAATGTGTTAATTATGTGTACTTATGAAAATAAGGCTTATTTTGTGGGATTTGAAAAAGTTTGTAAGAAAATAATACTGAATAAATATAAATGTTTAATAGTATATTTATTTACAAGAATGTAATGTTAATTGTAACATATCATTCTGCCTGCCTGCGAGGGTTTATAGTTAAGGCTCCATGTCTGTCACGGAGGTCGCAGAAGTCAGGGATTCCATGACTTTCCATGACCTCCGTGATGGCAAGTGTGGCTGACCTCAGGGCCGCCCATGCAGCTAGCTCCGGGGCCTGCTGTTCAGGTGGCCCTAGGGACAGTCACATCTGCCACTGCTGGAATGGCTCTGCAGCCAGCTGCTTGGATGGCCCCGCAGTCAGCCGTGCAGCTGCTGCTGGAGCGGCCCCGGGGCCAGCCATACACCCCCTTCCATTAGTGCCCCCTCCCCCATCCCCAACCAAGATTTAGTCACGGGTATTTTTAGTAAAAGTCATGGACAGGTCACGGGGCCATGAATTTTTATTTATTGCCAGTGACCTGTCCATGACTTTTACTAAAAATACCCGTGACTAAATCATAGCCTTAGTTATAATGTATTTATTGCTGCAGTATCTCAACACTCCTCCTCATGTGTCCTTTCTTCTGTTGCATCTACCTCCTCCAACCTCTTGTTTAACACATACACTCCTCATCCTGGCACCCACAGATCATCTATTATGCACCAGTGTTTTTGAGAGGAGAATTTGAACAGGGCTGCAATTTTACTGGGGGTATTTAAATTCATACAAACAACATTACTAGTCTTAATTCTTCAGCATATGGCAAGATTGGGGAGTATAATGAAGAGCAACTGCCCCACCAGCTACCCACCCAGAGCAAAGTGCTGTCACATCGGACAAGACAGCCTCAAATGATCCACAGCATTACTCCAGAGACAGATTATACTGTGCCTGTTTGCAATGGGTTGCACTGTTATCAATATTCAAAGGGTAATTCCGGACGTACATATTGACATAACTTGGTTCTACAATGTATCTGGTGCCTCAGAAGGCAGAATGGACAACATACCACCAACACTACCTACAAACATTACATCCCAGAAATGCTGGTTTTCATCCCTGACGCACAATTCAAGAATGCTCTTATTGCAACCAGTGTCACGCTGGATTTCCTAGAGTGCTAAGACAACAACATTTCCATTCCAAAATTCTTTCCTGCTCTGCTGCAAAAAAACAGTGCAACGGTGAGGGCCAGTGTCCAGAGAAATGATCTTTAATGGAAAGCATCTGTCTTAACACACTGACACCAGGTCAATGCACAATTATACAGGCATTAGAAAATAGTGCAATAATATAAATATCCAGGCAAGATATATGCTTCTTTATTAACAAGAAGGTTAATATGATGGCCGGGACAGGACACAGTGAATTACAGTGAAACCAGGGTAATCAGAGAAAGATAAATGTATATCCACAAAATGCACAACTAGCAGTAGAAAATAATGGGATTTAAGGGAAGTTGTTTGGTCTCCAAGGTAAAAGTCTGTAATCCTGCTCAGTCTTTTATTTAAAGGTTGACACATCAGAAGTGACATTTTTTCTTAGACCAGTTCAAAAATGCATTTTGATCTATCCCAGCAAAAACATCAATATGAAAAAGCCAACTCTGGATCAAGTTATTAGACTTGGATAAGGATCCTTATGCCTGAAATACCTAGGCACCTGGCTTCCACAGGAATGACTCTGGCATTATAAAATACGGAGAGTTGCAATTTAACTCCAAGTTTAAGGTAATCCTACAACAGTGATTCAGTTTTCAATTTTAAGTGGATCTTCAACCATCCATGGAAGACAGATGACCCTTGAAGAGGATTTTATGCTAAGAAGAATGGAAAGAATGTTCTGCAAGGAACAGGTGGACAACAGGTGGTGTACTGCCTTTCCAGAACCAAGACATTAGACATCACTCTAAGATTAGAGATGTTACTGAAGCTGGCAGGCAAAGTTCCTCTGGTAATGGTGCATATCACAGCAGTAATGACACTGTGTTACAAGGTACTTTACAGTTTAAAGATAACATCAAGGAATGCAAAATGGTGCTGAAGCAGAAGAATGTCCAAGTGATCTTCTTGGAGATCCTTCCTGTCCTGCAGGCAAAGGAAGACAGAAAGCAAAAGATTCTGGAAGTAAATCACTGGCTAGTTAAGTGATGTAAGACAGAAGGTTTTGGTTTTGTGGAATACTTGGTCCATCTTCTGTGTAGAGAGGGGGCTTCACGGTTTGGATGGCTTCCATCTCAGTAGAAGGAAAACCAATTTCCTGGGGGACAGGCTGGGAGCAGTGGGGACAAAAAAACTAACTGGCTTCAAGACTGAACTTGATAAGTTTATAGAGGGGCTGGTATGATGGGACAGCCTACAATGGCATGTGGCCCATTGGCAACTGCCAGTAGCAAAAATGCCCAACAACTGGAGATGGGACTATAGATGGGCAGGACTCTGAATTACTACAGATAATTCTTTCCCAGGTGCCTGCCTGGTGGGTCTTGCCACATGCTCAGGTCTAATTGATCACATATTTGGGATCAGGAAGGCATTTCCCCCTGCAACAGTTTGACAGAGACTAGGGATGGGGGGGGTGTTGCCTTCCTCTGCAGCATGGGTCATGGGTCACTTGCAGGTTTAAACTAGTGTACATGGTGAATTCTCTCTAACTTGAAGTCTTTAAATCATGATTTGAGGACTTCAGTAACTCATCCATGGTTAGGGGTATATTAAAGGAGAGGATGGGTGAGGTTCTGTAGCCTGCAATGTGCAGGAGGTCAGACTAGATGATCACAATGGTCCCTTCTGACCTTAAAGTCTACGAGTAGTCAGGAGGGTGTTAAACTAATAATAAAAGAACAGGATAAAAAGAGGGAACAAAGGAGCATCCATTTAGCACACAATAAAGCACATAGTTAATCAAGACACCAGTGGACATGAAGAAAAGAAACATTTTATTTAATTATACACCAAAGCTAGGAGCATGGGTAGTAAAGAAGAAGAATTGGAATTATGCAATTATGAGCATAAATTTGACCTACTTCATATTACTGAAACTTAGGGGGAAGATCTGCATGATTGGAATGTTAAAATCAATGGTGTGACCAAAGTTCCTGCTCTACCTTGGTGGATCCTGCGCTTATTGGCAGATTTGCTCACCTTGGAGCTTCACGGCAACCCTCAGCTTGGCCGTTTTTCTGAATTCACAGTCCAGGTCGACTCCTCCTGTGTCTGACCAGGAGTTGGGAGGATTTGGGGGGAACCCGGGCCCGCCCTCTACTCCGGGTTCCAGCTCAGGGCCCTGTGGAATGCAGCTGTCTAGAGTGCCTCCTGGAACAACTGTGTGACAGCTACAACTCCCTGGGCTACTTCCCCATGGCCTCCTCCCAACACCTTCTTTATCCTCACCACAGGACCTTTCTCCTGATGTCTGATAATGCTTGTACACCTCAGTCCTCCAACAGTCCGCGTTCTCACTCTCAGCTCCTAGTACCTCTTGCTCCCAGCTCCTCACATGCACACCACAAACTGAAGTGAGCTCCTTTTTAAAACCCAGGTGCCCTGATTAGCCTGCCTTAATTGAGTCTAGCAGCTTCTTAATTGGCTGCAGGTGTTCTAATCAGCCTGTC